AGGGCCAAACTACTTGTGCAAGGAAGGACGCCTATGGATTACTTGAGCGCGGGACTGTCTTCTGCGAAAGTATGGCTCTAGTCATCTCCTGCTATTCACCTGCATAACCTTTCCCTGATTGGAAAGCCCGTTTCCACCGCATAAGAAGAATGACGTCCGCGATTCAAAGCACTACTACTCAATCAGAAAAGTCTTCCCTCTGTGCAGGCTTTTACGATCAGATTAGCCGGGAAAAGAGAAGTTCCCTCTCTCATTTCGAAAGAAGGAACTTCCCTTGGCCCGGCGAATGACTTCGAAAAAACGATTTATTGACCTTCCACGTGTTTGACGAATTCTGGACTGACCGATTAACTCGGTCAAAAGTCGGATGGAGAGTAAACGAAGCGTAGCTGGAGTTTATGGACCGATGCGGCACCAAAAGCACCTAACGATGTGCTTCCTGAAGTTGCTGAGCCGGCAAATGCGTCCTGTGCGAACTGTTCTTGGGTACACTATAGATACCATACTGGTGCCATTTCAGCCCGAAGCATTACTAACAGGTTGTAGAAAGGTGAAAGAATGACAAACTCAATTACAAAGGAGCATTTATAATGTGGGGTTGGGATAATGGCAAGTGGGCCGCTACAACGCACGCGGAGAAGAGTGAAATCTGGGCTCCCACCCAGCCAAGCGTTATACCGTCCCAGGTTGGCAAAATGGTACCAGATTCGTCCAGAGTGATGAGAATACTGACTGTACATTGTGGCGCTCTCCCAATTTAGCTCATGAATCAGTTTTTCTTGATTCTGGCCATATATATGACGAGTGATATAGCGTTTTGGAGTCCAGACATCTCGCTAGATTTCTCCTTTTCACTAGTTTGTGACATTTAATTGAGCGGAGATGGCGTAGTGGCAAGTGGCACGCACCGTGGCTACCACTCGTGCAGTCTAGGGTCAGATCTTGGAGCAACTTTCGACCCACCCAACCGAGCCTTCTGCTCTCCGGGGACGGTGTTTTGGTACCAAATTCTTCTCGAGGGTAGTAACACCGACTTGTCCATCGACTAGCCCCCGCAGGTCGTTTTAAAGGCCACTTCGCATTCATCAAGCCACTACGACTTCTGAATAGAAGTAGAATGGGTGCTCCATCCTAGAAGTGATTGATCTGCAGCGTAAGCTTTGTCCTAACCCGTCCGATTGATAGCCACCAGTTCTTGTTTCAAAGGGTTGCCATACGTAGCATGCTCAACAGTATTTCGATTTGAAATTGAGGTGCGGAAAAAGACAATTCGTTCTGGCTCACGGCTCACAGCATCAAAGTTTGCCTCACGTAGAGTGGCAAGGTGAAAGGGCCGAAATGAAAGATTATTGGGCTGTTCCGCTACAAGAGCATTCTCTCCACCACTGCTTTACCGCAACGAGTAGTTGGTAATTGAGCTGAATAGCTTGTGGATAGCTTCTTGACAATCGGCAAGGTGGACGCTACGTGACTAGAAATACCTCAAATTTGCAAATTTTTCCTGGAGAATTTCTGCAGCATGAATGCAAGCTGTTCTGAACTTATGGACAACCTTACAAAACTCTCAATAATCACCAAAATAAACTTATGAAATAGATACAAAAAATTCTGCGCTGAACAAGTCATTCGGAAGCTACTGAAACCTATTTCTATTTTCATTGCTTTGAGTGAGATTGAGGACTATACGTCACCTTGATTCTACAAGTTGCGGGTTTTGTTTGCCCAGCGAGCCTGTGGAAGTTTGAAGAAAGGCGCAAGTTTCTGAGCTTTAAATCGTACAGTGAACCGCTAAACCAACATGCGAAGTAATGGATGGCAGAGGACTTCTGTACCTGGGGAGCGAGCAATAAAACTGATGGTGGCGTGGCCAGGCAGTGCAAGGATGGGCATTTTCTAGGCGACGGCTAGTGCTCGAGACGCTCACGTACAAGGCGTAGCGGGCGTGAAGGTTGCATTTGAGAACGCTCAAAAAAAGAGTAAGGTGTAGCTGGGCAGTCGTAAGGCTGTAATCGCTCTAGGGCAACGAAGTGCTGACCGCATATGTAAGAACCATGAAAAATGCCAGAGCGATCGTACAAGACCCAGGCCGCGACAGCAGCGGCTGCGATGGCATGGGCATGTACTGATGAGGCCAACTACCCGATAAGGCAGGTGTCGGAGCTTGAAGAAAAGAAAAGAGGACCAGCGAGGAGCTTCAAAGAGAAGACGAGTTACGTTTTCAGAAAGGACTTTTTGAAGTGAGATGACATGGGAGGAGATCGTTGAGTAACGCTGGGTAAGACGAAGCACGCTGGCAAGTGACAAAGTGGACAGTGACAAGCTTCCGTGCTTAATCATCTCTTGATTCAAAAAATCAAATAAAATGGGAAGCGCAGGTTTTCATGGGAAGGCACCTTCTGGAAAATTTTCCTTGAAAAGAGTTGCCGCTGGTAAATATTTGTTGTTGGAGAATGCCGCAGTTTCAGGTTGCTTGTGGCATGTGGGCAAGAACTTGGTGACTCTACTGCCCACCCCTGCACCTCCCCACCCTCCCCGCCAAAATGAACCACTACTGGAGCATGCTAGCTAACATCTTTTAGAGTCTTCAAGCATGTAAATTAACCTGGTAGATCTCTGAGCACGGATCGGTTGACGATCCAACTTGTCCGAAGAACCAATCGAAGTTTCGATTCAAATCGACACCTTGACAGCAGGTAGTTTGCGGAGCGCTGAACAAGCCTGAATGAATGAGAAAGTGATGCCTCTCGCCTATTTTTTGCTGTTTAAGAAATGGAGCAGAAGTGTAGTTACTTCAAAAAATTTGACATATGAAACATTGGATGGTTGAAGTCCTACCTGTGCTCTGTTGGATGCATCTCGCTGGACTGCGATTCTTCCGCCAGAGACGGATCTCAGGGTCGCTGCTACTCCGCGAATACTCATACCCATCCGGGTTCAGGAGCGGAACGATGTACCATTCCATTTGGTCGACGAATTGTCGAACCTGGGGGTCCTTGTCATAGTGCGTGACTAGCTGAAAACAGAATCTATCAGATGGACCTCCTTTGGCGGATGAGCCATGAGTCCTATCAGTACACAAAATCACGCACACTTGGTTAGGAATCATGGCAGATTTGAGTACGTCGAACGAACGAATTTTTGAAGCATTTTCAGCTGACCAGTTTTTAGGCGTTCAAAATGTCACCCATAACCCGCTCA